CGGATTTGCACTCCAAGAAAGCGAAGTACTTGCTTGTTGGTGCATTCACTTGGCTTGCTCCTGGTCAAAGCCCTGATGACTTTGAAGAAGCTGCACCTCCCAACTTACCTGAATGGGCTCCAGAAATTGAAAACCCTGACGGTGAAGATCCAGAGATTGAGGATGCCGACGATGCCTGGGGGGAGGTTCGAGCAGAGAAAAAGAGGAGAGCTCAAGAGAAAAGGCTGACGAGGAAAGAAAGGATGAGCAGTGTGAAGAAGGAAAAGAAGATGATCAGCAGGGGCATCTGGAAGCGAAGGTGCCGAAGGTGGAGGCTACAAGGATCTGCGTGCCGCTTCCACCCAAAAGCCAATGTGAACTGCTGAGGCCTTTCATCGATGTCTACATGCGGCTGAGGAGTGATGGATTTGTCGCCACTCAGATCCATACAGATCGTGATGGCGAATTTATGTCAGAAGCATTGGACAAATGGTGCGCATCTCGCACTATCCTCCACACATACACCCCTGGAGATCAACCACAGTGCAATGGCCATGCGGAAGCCTCGGTCCAGTGGCTCAAGGCGGAGATCAGAAGGATTCTTCACGCCTCCAATTCGTCCTTCTCTTTGTGGCCTCTTGCTGCTCGGAACATCAATGAGCGCCCTCGTCTGAAGCAGGTTGGCAAGAACCCTGCACTTCCCAACTTTATGTCTCCAGTTTCGATCAGGAAGATTTTTTGGCGTGCGCGAGAACTTCTCGCAATACAAGAACGTGCACTTTGTGTGTCGCCTTCCTGGGTACATCACGGGCACTGGATTCAGAGAGAAGACGGAAAATTTTCTTTGACCCGAATAGTCATGCATCAGCTCCAAGTTCACCCAAAGCTGATGATTGCATTGGTCTGGAAGATCAATTGGCTCCCTTGGAAGTCCGAAATGAAATCCGAGGAAAGGCCTCTTTAAATCACTTCGCCTGTGGTGGATCTTGTGAAGAAAAGAGAAGAAAGACTTTGAGGATGATGAAGAAGAAGAGAAAGAAGAATGACGGGTGAGAACTAGAAGAATGATAGAAGAAGAGATGAAGCATGCGATTGAAGATCATCCATTGGGATCATTTCTCACTGTTGATGCGGTCGCCTCCATCAACGAGATGACTGCGCAGGCATCACCTGAAGAAGTTCTGCAGACTCGGATACTAGGTGGTACCCCCAAGTTATAAGCTATGTTATAACATTCACAAGTTAACTTAGAAGCAGGGCTAACACAGGTTAAAAGTTTCATAACTCATGTTGGAATTGTAAATAAGATATGAACTTATAACATAAGTTAAGGGTGTCATGGCAATAAGTTTTAAACGAGATAGCAAAAAGTTATACAAGTTAACTTTCATGAGCGTTTTTTGTGTTCATGTTGTCTGGGCAAACAACCAATTAGAAGCTTTTGGTGGTTTTTGCAGGCATGTTCGACTCAAGGCCATCAAACAGACGTTTCCAAGCATGGCTGCTGCTTTGGGTGCTCAGGAGCAAGTTGCTGCAAGGCGCCTCGCTATGCAAGACTGGCAACGCTTTCCATACCTTTTGCGGAAACCGCATTGGGTGCTACTTCGCTCCGCTGAGCAACGATACAGCAAAATTGAAGTCATTGCGCAGCATCTGGTTGCTTGTGGCCTGAGGTCTCATAGTGAAAGGACGCAGACGACCATATGTGCTTTGTTAATGCATACTTCTCCCGAGGAGGGAGCTATGCATCTGGAAGAAGATGCCATACGCGCCCAGGCTCTGTTATCAACCGTCAAGGCGGTGTTAAAGGCGAAGATTTTGCGAGCGAAGAACCTTGGAACACCGTTCTTGGGGAATGAGTACATCACAGGGTTGCCGGCCACAGTGGCGCAACTTCCGGCGACGTTTCGGCAGCGGTTTTTCGAAACTGTTGCTGCTCATAGAAGCCGCCCATTGATCTGAATCCAGTTTCGAGATCTGCCAATGCATGGGTGTGTTGCTCCACGAAACAAATGCCAAATGCGACAGGAAGCATCGCAGGGGTTTGCTGTGCAGCACGCAATGGTGCAAAAGACAGCTCTTGTCGCGGCCAATATGATTGCATTGGCTCCTGCTGGACAAGTAGCCCCTGGGTTGCCTGGTTCGCAGATTTTTTTCGGCTTCCAAGAAAGCGGATACAGGTGGATCGAGACAGTTGCAGCAACTTATGGATCGTGCTGATGCTTCTGCAGCTGCATCAAGTATGCCAGTGGCAGCGTCAGGTGCCACAGAGGTGGCACCGAGGATGCTGGCGTTGGAAGATGGACCGCAAATTCGGTGCCATGCAAGTCTGCAGCCACTGACTTGGAGGAGAAAGTGCCGCTGATGAAGGCGGAAGCAAGGGAAGAAGGGCGAGCCGCACCACCTTTGGGCGGAGATCTTGAGACGAGTTTGGCTGCGCTGGCGCAAGCTCACTATCAGAAGGACATGCCGGAGATGCCCGGCTCAACGGCAAGTGTTGCCAAGAGTCCTTCGAAGGAGAAGGTTTGAAGCGTCCTGACTCCGTTTCGCGGATGCCGTCAGCTTGCACCGGTTCTCTATTTGCTGGAGGTGCTACTGGAGTTGCTTTGAAGGCAATGAGCATCGCTTATGAATTTTCTTGGCATGGAATTGTCCTCAACAGCCTTTTTGAACGCTCCAATGAAGCCTGGTGCGACTGGTGCTGGACATGAAGAGGATGCTCCGCAACTAAAAAGGGAGATTATCAAGCCGCCTCCCCTGCTGATCATGGCAGGACCTGCCAAGCCTGATGCATACTGGGAAGTTGTCATGGCTCTCTGCGGCTACAAGAAGAGTGTCCAAGGTTGATGTCCCTGAAAATTCCTGCAGAAGATCAAGGTTGGAGGATATTGAAGCATGAGCCTGGACCATTTGGGTCGACGCAGGCTGAGCAGCTTGTTGGTTTGCTTTTGGTTTACGTGGATGACCTGTTGATTCTTGGAGGTTCATCCGATGTCTCTGCCATCAAGGCCATCCGTGAAAATGGAAACATCGATCTCTGAGGAGATTGACAGCTCTTCGGGCGTGAGGTTTCTTGGTGCCGAATTGCACCGTGATGGATTGAAGTGGTGGGTGACTCAGCAGAACTACATTCAAGATCTTTTGGTTCGCAATCTGGGGGGAGATACCACATCAGGACAGAAAAAAGATTCCTCTTCTTGCAGATCCTGAAACCAGAGAGGATCCGCCTGGCAAAGACGCTGCCAATGTTCGATAAGCTCAAATAATCATCGGAGAGCTGGTCTGGGTTTCAGCTCGAACCCCAGACTTGTCGCTTGCCATCAACAAGCTGGCGTCCATGATCGCAAAGGGTCCGCAGCAGGTGATTGGCCTTGCCAAGAACGTTTGGTTTTACTTGGCTGGAACTATGGACCAAGGTCTTCAGCTCCAAGCTGTTCCCAATGATCGACAGCTGAATATCTACACAGATGCCTGTGAAGTTTGCACTGGATGCCACTTGGTCATGTGGGGAACATCGATCCTCCTTTGGAAAAGGGGAAAGCAGTCTGTGGTGACTGCATCAACAGCTGAAGCTGAGCTTGTTGAAATCTTAGAAGGTGCACTTGCTGGTGACGCCGTTCGAATGGTTTTGGAAGAGGCTTTGGATGTGAAGGCTAGGGCCGTGTCATTCACTGACAACACGGCCTCAATTTCCATTATCACGGCTGACAGTGGATTTTGGCGCACGCGCCATTTGAAGAAACGTGCCCATATCAAGGTCATCTAAGGTGATTGGCTTCTTCGTCACATGTCTGGGTCAGAGCTTCCATCTAGAAACCAAAGTTTTCATCAGGAAAGTTCAAGCAACACAAAATCGCGATGGGAATGTATTTGGGAGGTGAGGAAAAGAAAGATAGAGAGCGGAAGAAAAGCGAGAAAAAGACAGCAGTTTTGCATCAAATGCTGAGACAGCCAAACAGGCTTTGAAAGCCATTATTCTTTTTGCTCGAATGGCCATGGGAAAAGGCCAAGAAGAGAATCAACTCTCAGTGTGGCAGCCAATTACTTACACTTCAAGCATTCCATGAACCATCCAGTGGACCGCCATTTTACATCATCATCTTCGTGACATATTTGTTTGGATTGCTCCCTGGAGCTGTTCTGGTGTGGCTGGCAGTGTATCCATTTTTTCATAGGGTGCACTGGTGGAATCAAGGACCAACGTGTCCCAAGGCCGTCGTTTCTTTTTCATTCACATCCTGAAGATCACGGAAATCAGAAAAGAGCTGAAAAAGTGGCTCCGCTGCCGGGGAGAAGTCAAGACCGTGGTGAAGCCCGACAAGGCGCTTCTTCAGCTGCAGAGTCTTCGAGGCTTGCGGCGTGCGGCTGCTGATTCTTCAGGCGCTGGTGGGGCTGCTGGCTCTTCAAATCTTCGGGCGGCAGCGGCGGCAGCTGCGGCGGCGGCTGCGGCTGCGCTGCTGCTGCTGCTGCTGCTGCGGCGAAGTGAAGAAGTATGATCCATGCTCCGCTTGCATGTACGGTCTTTGTGGAAAACATTCCGCTAACAAGAGGAAAAAGCCTTGAGCTGAAACAGTCTAGGGGAAGTGCGAATCTGCATGAACCCGTTTACATGTCCTAACCGTAAAATTTTGCCATGGCAAACTGTCCTCGACATTTGCCGCCATGGGCGAACTGTCCTCGACATTAGTCGCCAGGAGCGAAACATTTGCCGCCAGGAACGCTCTATGGGCCGACGGAACCCTTTTTCAATGCTTCAAGCGTTGAAGGAAAAACCAGCATACAACTGGTGTCAAAGCAGTTGGGGCTTTTTGTGGTGTGGTTTTGAAATTTTTGAGCTGGCTGGTAAGGGGCCAGGACGTAATCTTGATTTTTGGGGCACCCATGCAGAACTTCAAAGAACAACCCCTATCCCCCACACAAAGTGATATCAACCAATCATCCCTTTTGTATGATTGAAAAACGAGCACCTTGGAAACCACCAAGGAGTTATGCTTGATTTCTTGCCACAGTTCTTCCACGTCCTTCATTAACTCCTTGAACGTTCCCTCGGTGTAGTTGGCTGGCGACTCCTCCGGCTGAGCCGTTTGCCACGACGGGCTGCTCTCAAAAAATTGCGCGTGGAGCCCCATGATCCCCATGTGGAAAATCGCTGCCATTGAAGCGGACGCACTTGTCTTTATATTGCGTCGACTCTATATCTTAGATAGATAGATAGATAGATAGATAGGTAGATAGGTAGATAGGTAGATAGGTAGATAGGTAGATAGGTAGATAGGTAGATATAATATAAGTAGAAAAAATAAATATCCGCCGACCTCGCCTGCAGCAGGGGGAGCGCGTCTGGGGAGAAATTACTAGCAGCAAGGGGCAAGAAGACATGACAAGCAGCAAGGAGCAAGAGCAAGAAGCAACAAGCAAGAAGGCTAGTTACTCGCAGTATGGCGAGAGGGACGCGAAAAGGTTGTTTTTCTAGTCAATTTAGAAAGCAACGTTTGGCAGCATGGGCTGCTGAGCGCGGGCCTGATCCGTCCTTCAGTAGCATGGTTTTTGGTCCTGCTTAGACGAAAGTAAGCTGCAAGAGCAAGCAAGCAAGTTGCAAAGTAGCAGCGCAGGAGGGCAGGGAAAATGAATGAACATTTGGAGCTAGTTTCCAAAATTGGTTTAGAAAGCAACGTTAGGCACAGGCAGCCGTAGGCCGAAGGCCTGGTCCGTCCTTGCGTGGCAGGCGGCATGTTGATTCGGTGTGACGAAACCAACGGCTTCGAGGCTTGAAAGCTGCAATTTGAAGCTAGTTTCTTGCAGGGGCAGCCGCAGGCCGAAGGCTTTGTAGTTTCTTGCTGATTCAGAAAGCCACGTTAGGCACCAGCTGCGGCTGGCCGAGGGCGCGATGCGTTCTTCAGTAGCATGCTGTTTTGCTGTGGCGAGGGGTCCGCTTTGGAGGCCTGAAAGCTTCGGTTCGGAGCTATATACCTGCAAAGGTTGAAAGGACCTATAAACCGTGAAATTCAAAGGACGTAAAATTCAACGTTTGGCCTTGCCCCGGCTTTTATTTAATTGCACCCAAGCCAGGATATGCTTCTGCAGAAGACGTGCGGATATCATCTATAGGTTCTTGCTGGTTTCCAGCAAGACTTACCTGGTTTCTCTGCGTCAATTTTGAAAGGAGAAAATACAAAAACAGCTTCGTACACATGCTTTGGTTTTTTCTGGACTGCATTTGCAGCCAACAGGGATTATATATATAAGGATGTATCTTTTAAAAAAAACAACTTTATCTGCGTAGCTGTAAAAAACCACATATGGATCATATGGATGATCATGTTAAAACTAAAAATATCGGTATAGCTAGCACTGGTTGCGCATATATCTATTTTGCCCTGACATGTTTGGTGATATCTCCTCGCATCTTGGACCCCACCACCCAACAAAGAAAATTTAGATTCAGTCCAGACCCCATGAAGGTCTATTGTTTTTTAACCACTGAGGGTTCAAAATTTCATCATCAAAACCACGCAAATTTTCATCCACAAATTTCATGGCATTCATGGTTTCATGACATGCGCAATTTTGGAAGCAAAATGTATGGTTTTCACCTCGGAATATTCAATGAAATTCATGGTTTTCACCTCGGAAAAGTCATGAAATTCATAGTTTCCCACCACTGAGGATTCTATGAAATTCATGGCTTCCACGACTGGGAAGTTTTTAAAATTATGGTTTCCAACCTGGAAATCATAAAAACGCACGGCTATCAAATGATCCATCACTTTTTTGTTTGGCAGCAAATTTCATGAATTTCACGATTTTGAAAGCGAATTTCATTCAATTCACGGTTTCCAGCCCGGGATTTCATGAAACTCACGTTTTTCAATCCAGTTTTCATGAAACTCATGGTTTCTACAGCGAATTTCATGAAATTCATGTTTTCGGATGCAAACTTCGTGAGAAGCCATCAAAAATCATTTGGTTTTCATCCCGGAAAGTTCATGAAATTCATGGTTTCCAGCCAGGCTTTCATGAAATTCAGTTTTATTCCATGTGGAATCTCTGACCTTCCAACCACAAGGTTTCACTATGTGGTTCGTCTAACCCCATGTCTTTATTGAACACCATGATTTCACTGCCTATCTCTAGGACCTTCCAAAGAGCAGAGGCAGAATCTTTCATCAAATCAAGAATGCACAATAAGCAATACCGGCCGTCAGGAGTTCCCAAAAGTTCCCTTCCCTTCAACTTGCCATTCCCGAAGCCTAATCATCCATGACGTACACGGTCCACACAAAAAAAAAGTAGCGCGCAAAGTTTCACACATTTCGATTTCTGCGACAACGCCACTCAAACCATCATGTGAGCCACACACACACACACCAGTTTTTTGATGGTGTTCAGTGGTTTTCACGGTCTTTTCAGGCGCCTTTCACGCTTTTTTCACGCATGTTTCATGCCTCAAAATGGACCAAAAAAGTTCCGCATATGATCTATAGACAATTTTTTCAGATTTTGCTATTTGCAACTAGCGCTGACCTGTTAGCAGATTCGATTTCTTCTCTTATATTGGCTTTCCACCCATTCTTCATATTTCTGCCCAAACTGCATTGGGACTGGGCCAACACAGTTAGTCCACCCGCTGGACGTGAAACAATTGTAGCTAGTATAACCCCACAGTTGAACGTTATAGAGAATGGATAGGGAATTCAGGAATTTCATGGCTTTTCATGAAAATATGACTCAGCGTGAAATTCCGTGAACTTGATGGTGCTTTGGGATCGTGGGGAACTTAGGCACTTATAACTTCATTGTAAGTGGTGCTTAATTGGGCTGTAACCGATCTTGAGTAAGGTGGCACAACTGACTTAGGTGACTTATAAGTATATCAGATGTTAAGTGTTCAGGACTTAGCTGGCACTTAGGCAGCATTTAACTTTTAAAAAACGCATCTATGTCTTTGCAAGTTTTTGTTGGCTTCAGGAGTGAAGAGAGTATCTTTTGCAGCCATTTGGTTTCAAACATGTCGGTTGAAAAGCAGCTGGACGCAGCACAGAAATTCCTACGTGGAATTACGTCTGTCGCTTCCTACGCAGAAGTCACGGAGAAGCAGGCGCATGGAGTGCAGCGATCGCTAGAAAAGGTTTCAGCCTTTAGCGCTGCCCAAGCGGCAGCATGGCTAGGACCTCCTAAGTGGAAACTAACCTTCCGCGAGATCGTGGCAATGAAAGCAAGGCCTGTGGAGGCAGACAACAGCAATGCGTTGCCGCAAGACTTTACACTGCTTCCGTTCTATCTACCCGATGAGCTGGTGCAAGACATTGGCAATCCGGCAGTGGATTCAGATCGGTTGTTGTATAGACTGTGTCAGCACGCGGCAAAGATACCACTGGGAAATGCATCGGAAGCATTGAAAGCAACGTTGGTGGTGATGTCCAAATGGATCACGTGCAAGCGTGATCTTGCCCCTAAGGAACAATATGAGTTATATTGTCGTCATAAGCCGGTGGTGACGAAGTATTGGGTTGGCCCTTCTGATGGCAAGTATCTGTTAGAATTGCCTTTGTTTTCGGCGGAGTTGGATGAAGGCATTCGGACACGTTTGTTTCCTACGGGGAACCGCAGCAGTGTGCCATTTACATGGCTTCAGACTTCAATCTGGATAGGTTTTGCAACGAAATCACCGCCTTGACCAAAAAAAACGCAACCAAACAAATACAAGAAAAAAAGGGGATCCAGCATCCACCCCTTGAAACCTTTACAAAGGCGGCTTTTGAAGGAACAGCTGGCAAAAAGAATTGCAAAACAGGAACCCAGGACCAAGAATCCAACGAAACAAATGGCATTTACTCAATGGGCACAAAAGCCTGATGATTTTCGCCCAATTTGCCGATATCCTGAAGCTATTTGTAGATTTGGCATGTATAGATTGTGGGGTCAAGTTTTGCATTTTGGATGCTTTTCTTCAGTATCCCCCAGCTATCTGCGTATTCGGCATGCATTCTGGGATCTCGTATGTTTGCATGATTTTGATCCGGAAATTTCTCCCAGACATTTCCCTAAGTCTCTTTTTCTATTTTGGCTAGCTTTAGTTAACTTGCAAAATTTAGTTTACTAAACTAGTAAATTGTCAACTAAAGTAAATTTGTGGCAACCAAAGAAAATGCATGCATTTTTGCTAGAAATGCGTGTCTTTTGTTCTTTGGTTATCCTCTTGTGATTGAGGAAAGCACAACAAACAGAGTAATTATATCATTTCCAAAATGAACGTGAAAGACTTGGGATTTGCGCGCAAAAAGATTCATCCACAAGGTAAAAATAGTGCTGCCAATCTGTTGTTCAACACACATATTGATATGTACACCAAGGATCTTGCACAAGTAAGAATAAGCACAGGCACAGAAGGAAAACTACAGATATTTGATAGGATATGAAATGGCTTGACACAAGTATCACACAATGGCTTTTTGCGACATCTTAGGTCACAAGTTGTTTGTTCATTCTCAAGTTTTTTGTGGAGCTCAAGAATTGAAGGTATTGAAACCAAAGGTATTCATCAGCTGATAGCTTGAAGCACCACTGATGTTACAATGAAAGGCTTAAACTATATATGTATAGTGCATAATTAGCTTTTTTGGGAAATAAATGCCATACAGTTGTGTCAGGCAAACTTTTGTGCCAAAGTTTGTTCTGTTATTTTCATCAAAAAGAAGAATTTTTTCTATATTTGTGAAATGATGTGTAAAACATTTGGTATGTATTTTGTATGCTTGTTATATGCATTTTATATGCATTTTTTCAAAATGCATGCATTTTTGGCAAACATACATGCACTTTTACAAAAATGCATGCATTTTTGAACAGTGCAAATAAATTCATATAAAATGCAAAAAATGCATAAATTTCAATTGTTTCGTGTATCTTTTTAATCAAAACCAGCACACATTTTTGCTTGTTTCTATACTGACATTCTTGCACTGAATGTGTCTCCCTGGATAGGCTTTGCACACCATTGCAAGTAAGCAACTGAAATTGAGGATTGCATATCCAAAAAGATATAGTTACTTGTGCTCACATCTGAATACTTTTTACTTCAGCCACATGTAAGCTCAGGTAACTACAACTAGCCGCAAGTAAAATCAAGTAACTACATCTTGTCACAAGTATTCTGAAGTATGTACAGCTACTCACAAGTAAACAAGATGCAGCCCGCGAGCCCGAATGCTCACACGTATGTTAATGGTGATGATGTCGAAACACATGGAAATGCAGTCATGCAGAACACTTTTCTGAAACAGTTTATTTGCATAGTCTTGTACATTTAAAGTGTAAAGTGTGGAGTGCGGAGTGTAAAGTGTGGAATGTAAAGTGTGGAGTGTGAAGCGTGGAGTGGAAACTGTGAAGTGTAGAATGCTGAGTGTAGACTGTAAAGTGTGGAGTGTAGAGTGTGGAGTGTAGAGTGTAAAGTGTAAAGTGTGGAGTGTAAAGTGTAGAGTGTGGAGTGAGGAGTGTGAAGTGTGGAGTGTGGAGTGTGGAGTGGCAAGTGTAGAGTGTGGAGTGTAAAGTGTAACGTGTAAAGCGTGGAGTGTAAGGTGTGGAGTGTGGAGTGAGGACTGTGGAGTGAGCAGTGGAGTGTAGAGTGTGGAGTGTGGAGTGTGGGGTGTAAAGTAAGGAGTGTGGAGTGTAAAGTAAGGAGTGTGGAGTGTAAAGTGTGGAATGTAAAGTGTGGAGTGAGGAGTGTACAGTATAAAGTGTGGAGTGTAGAGTGTAAAGTGTAGAGTGTAGAGGGTGGAGTGTAAGGTGCGGAGTGCGCAGTGTAAAGTGTAAAGTGCGGAGTGTAGAGTGTAAAGTGTAGAGTGTGGAGTGTAAAGTGTGGAGTGTGGAGTGTAAAGTGTGGAGTGAGGAGTGCGGTGTGAGGAGTGTAAAGTGTAAAGTGTAAAGTGTAAGTAAAGTGTAAGTAAAGTGTAAGTAAAGTGTAAGTAAAGTGTAAGTAAAGTGTAAAGTGTAGAGTGTAGAGTGTAAAGTGTAGAGTGTAAAGTGTAGAGTGTGGAGCGTGGAGTGTATAAGTGTATAAGTGTAGAATGTGGAGTGTGGAGTGTGGAGTGTGGAGGAGTGTAGAGTGTGGAGTGTGGAGTGCAAAAACCAGGTTGGAATGTCACAAAGTGCCACGCATGCCACGCAAATCGGCATGACAACCTGCTTGAAAACCTTCGAAAAGGAGAGGTTTTGCAGCTTCCCCCATAGACAAGGCGAAGCCACAGGAAAACCAGAGCCTCGAGACGAGACACGTGGTAGCATCAAAACGAGCATTTCGTGCGAGACCTCCTCCAATTTTGACACTTTGTAGCCTCAAAATCGACGTTTTCCTACGGGTTTTCTTAGGAACCTGAAAATTTGCTATCTCAAAATCGATGTTTCGTGCGAGGCTTCCGTCACTTTTCAGCACATCTCACAAAATGTCACGCCTGCCACGGAATCTGCACCTTGTCGCCACTTGATGCAGCCCTGCCAATGCGATTCGCACAAAGCACGCAAGACGACACGTCTAAAGCGCTGCGTCTGCCACGCAAAATCACGATGGACACTTCCAAAGTGCTGCGCCTGCCACGAAAATTTCCACGTCGGAAAAGTATTGTGCCCACCACACAAAACCACTTTCGACACGTTACAAAACACGTCTGAATGTCACGAAGTGCCACGCCTGCCACGCAAAACGAAGCAACGAGACCTTTGAAACATCCAAAAAGCACCCCTTCTGCAGAACTTACCATAGGCACATATAGCAATCGCGCAGACGGCTGCGAATGGTTGCAAACGGTTGCGAACGGTTGCGGACGGTTGCGGACGGTTGCGGACGGTTGCGAACGGTTGCGGACGTAAACGCAACGTCGAGCGAACACACCCTCAACGCCCAGACCCCCAGAGTGAAACGGGAACCCTTGCTACGCAGTTACGCAGTCGGGAAAAACTACAGCTACAGCTAGTCGCAAGTAAAATATTTCAGGTGGAGCACAGTCCCAAGCCTCAAATCATGTCTCTCTTCCGGTTAGTTTTTCATAGTTTTTCAACATTCACAAAGCCACAAAAACGTTTGCTGAGCATAAGCAATAAAAAATGCACAAACCATGTCAACTTTTAGAACAAAGTAACTAGTTTTTACTGTGTGAAAATCCTACTTTGAAAATTTACTAGTACTACCAATTCAATTTACTAGTACTACTAAATCAAATTACTAATGCTACTAAATCTCATTTACTATTTACTAAGGAATATACGCAAATTTTGTCTAGTAAACTAAACCACGAAATTTACGTAAATTTTCAGTCTACTAAATTTAATAGAAAAAGAGACTTCGGGTTGGGTCAAAATTCATCTGTCGGTTTTTTCAGGGCGTAGGGTCAAAATTCATCTGTCGGTTTTCAGGACATAACATCTTGGAAAAACTTTTCTATCTTCTGGGGGGGCACTCTATATATACTCGCCATTTCTTCTTTGAATCAGAGAGCTCTGGTCCAAAGAGAAACTGGCTTCCCCAATATCTTGCACCCACCTTTCATGATACACATCCCAATATTCATTGGGGGGTCCAAAGTTGCAATAGACCTTACCACTTGGCCCAAGAACAAGGAATCTGAAAAAAAACATGTATTTTTCTGAGATCGGGGGGGCTGTGGGTGGTCAAGACACAGACTAACATAGCTACTGGAAAAGTTCTTCTTGTGCGTGGCTGATGCATGGAAGGTGGACAAAAACTACAGTATTGAAATCGATCAAAAACCAGGAAAGAGAAAACATGGCTCAACATGGGCCCCACTTGGCCCAACATGGGCACAACCTGCGCTCAACATAGGCCCAGACTGCTTCCATACAGGCAAGCACTGCGCATTATGCCTGCCTCAGTTCAACATAGCCCTCCCTGGGTTTGCGCGGAGAATCTTGGCCCAATCTTCCCACACCATAAGCCAAAAGTCGTTGCTTGGCCGGCGCCCGGCTGTCAGGCGTAAGCCTTTAAATCCGGGCGCCGGCCACGGAGCCCGTGTCCTTGCCGGAGGCCTTCGGTGGTAACCGAAAGTTATAGGCGCTGCCGGTCCTGCCGCCGACCCACCCCGTGTTCACCCCGGGGGGACTGCGTGTCGACTGAAGTCCCTGTAATTTACGGCGGTTTTTTTGTGCGCGCGATTTTCAAAAACATCGTTTTGTTTACGGTGTTTCGGGCCCTTCGGCGGCAAGGGATTCCATCTTGGCGATGTTACAAAACCTCGGTTTTTACGTGGTTTTGGGCTCCAGGAGGGGGCCCGGGGCGGAAAAAGTGGCATCTTAAGAGCGTTTCAACATAGCTGGCCCAAACATGGCCCCAACATATGTCCCAAGATGGCTCAAAAGCAAAAACGAAGAAGAAGAAGAAGAAGGAGAAGAACAAGAAGAACAAGAAGAACAAGAAGAACAAGAAGAACAAGAAGAAGAAGAAGCAGACGAAGAAGAAGAAGAAGAAGAAAAAGCAAAAGAAGAAGAAGAAGCAGAACAAGAAGAAGAAGACGCAAACGACGACGACGACGGCGACGACGGCGACGACGACGCCGCCGCCGATGCCGACGACGCCGACGACGACGCCAACGACGACGACCAAGACCAAAACCAAGACCAAGACCAAGACCAAGACCAAGAACAAGAACAAGAACAAGAACAAGAAGAACAACAACAGCAACAACAACAACAGCAACCGCAACAACAACAACGACAACAACAACAACAACCACAACAACAACAGCAGCAACAACGACGACGACGACGACAGCGACAACAGCGACAACAACCGCACCAGGAGCAACCACAAACCACAGCGGCGGCGACGACGACGACGACGACGACGGCGACAAAGACCGACGGCGACAAAGAACAAGGACAGGGAAGAAGAAGAAGAAGAAGAAAAAAAAAGAATAAGAAGAAAAAGCAAAAACGAAGAAGAAGAAGAAGAAGACGAAGAAACGACGACGACGACGACGATGCCGACGTTGGCGATGACGGCGAGGACGACGACGACGACGACGAAGACAAAAAAGCACCGCCACAACACGAACACTGACTACGGCGACAACTACAGCGCCGCTACTACTATGTCCGGCCGTTTCTCTGCCGGCGCCCGGCAGTCAGGCGTAAGCCTTTAAATATTTTACAAGCAACAAGGGCTGCTTTGTCAACGTAACGGGAAAACCTTATGAACCTTCGGTTCAGAACAGACATGTTTCGGTCATTGATGTCAATGATGTTGATGATGAAGAAGGAAAAGACGTGAAAGTGATGATGATGATGATGATGATGATGATGAGGATGATGATGATTCCATGACGGTTTTAAGCGATGCAAATTGCGCGGTTGTAAGCGATGCAAATTGCGCGGTTGTAAGCAATGCAAATTGCGTGGTTGTAAGCGATGCCAAGACCATTTACAAATAATACTTCAGATCTTGATGCAGTCACATGCTTAAGCAGTTGGGTCGATCCAAAAGCTGACAGTTATTGACAAACAAACTCTTCACGGCCTCTGTCCCGATCTGATCTTCTGTCATCCCTTCTGCAACTTTCGATAAGCCCTCCTTGGTGCAGCAGTCACGTGGAATATAAGTGAAAAGGGCTCTGAATCATCTGAATCTTGAGCACAAAATGGAACACCAAAGTATCTTGGGAGGAGACGTACTACAGTTTTCCCGCTTTCCTTGCCCTGTGAAGTTGCAGCGTGGTGCCTTTTGAATTTCCATCCTGTGGCATGCTATGCTATCTTGGCTCCGCCTTGGCATACCTGACATATCCTCCATACTCCACGAAACCGTCCGGCACGCAAAACTCGACAATCATGTAAAGAAGAATAAACATCATTCAAAATAAAAAAGAATGGCACAATAGAGATTGGGCGCACATCTACTTGCACATCTCATGGCTAGACTCGACCAAATTCAATGGCAATTGCAAAAAATATATCAAGTCATTTTTTTCCAGTCAAGGAGCGGCGCTCTGCAGAACAGCCACCGCTTCCTTGCATTTCGAATTGCAAGCCAAATTCAAGGGAGTGAAACCTTAGCGGCAAGTTTGACATCAAACGCCAGAACTGCGCGAGTTGACAGAAGACCTCAAACCTTTCCAAATCAATATGACAAGGCTGTGTCAATATTGTCAATATACGTACTGAAGTTGAAAGCCCGCCTCAGACTGAATCTACTCTCCAATGGGAATTCAGTTGGATCCGAGGGCTCAGATCATACGCATTCACATGTTCTATGTGAAGACCTCTGAGGCTCCGGGCTGCTGAGGTCTTCAGCCTCAGTCCTGGCTCTGGCCTCCAACAGTAGTTCGATGATTTTGACCGGTTCCGAGAGCTCACTGGCGGCCAAGTGTAGTGGTGTCCGGCCTCAGCGCCGCCGGAAAGCCTAAGAAAATAACACAAAAAGGTGCTGCTGTGCCCTTCTCAACTGTCACTGGATTGGATCATGGAAGCTTTGGATTTAATTTCTCAAGAACAACACCTTGCAATTCTGTTCGCTCTAAGTTTCGGACCACTTCCGTCCGTGGCATCAACAGATGCGCGATTTTTGAGGAGCTGCTGGACGGAGTCTTTGTCACCGCTGCACACGGCATTGTGCAGCTCCGTCCGGCCTAGGTGACAAAGGTGACAAATGTTCATACACATTGCTTCAAATCAAATTCAACTATGCCATGTTGTCAGGGTACAAAAAACATGCGTCGTGATATCTTCAAGGAACTGCTTGGGGTTTAATGAAAATTCAGATTCAAAGTTACATGAGTTGTACGAGTACCAGGAAGAAGCAGCAACCACTGAGCTGGACAGGTGGAGACGGGAGAAGTGGTAATCAGTACTACACTGTGACCCGGACAAACGTCAACCTCCTCTGCTGGCAACACATCCAGCTATTCGCCTCAACTTTGAGCCCGCTGCCCAACTTGTTCTTCTTCTCGACTGATTTGCCCTCAGCTGTGGTGTCTTGGCCTTGGCATGACCAAGGCAGAGTGGCTCCCAAAGGATTCTTGAGAGGATTCCATGCGTATCTGGCGTAAGACAAATGCTGAGCGCCAAGCTCTTAGAGGATGCTGTGGCGGCCTGGTCGACAGGAAGGTGCATTCGAAAAAGGTTCACAGCCAGCGCGTGGAAACATTCAAAACGGAATGGAGGCCATATGCAAACATGAAAAAGATAGTTAGCCAATTTTCGAAGGCTGCAAGAACATGCTAAACAAATCTGAACAATTACAAGCGCCGTGGCGGCCGAGCCCAGGACACACTTAGGCAATGCGGCCATGGCTACAGATGTTGGGATGCACAACAGTGCCGATAAATCTAATGAAGTTACCGAATAAAATATAGTTAGCAAAGGATGCACATTCCACATTGCGACTGCAATCGTGGTAGTTGCAACTCCCTATTTCTAGAATTCTTTGGCAATTACTGGTAAGTCTGGTCTTCCATTTGTATCCATTTGTATTATCTTGGGTGATCAGTTGTGCCATGACATCACCAATTCGCACGTGGAGTCCGCCATGCCTGTCAAATCTGGGAAGAGCGGCAGGCGCACGAGAACGGCTTAGAAACATGTCTTCCGACAGCCAAAAAAAAGAACCGGTATCCGAAAGAGTATGAAAGAGTCAGTTTCGCTCGGGCATGTGACAACAACGTACGAGTACAGCTTCACCTGTGCAGAAGCAGAAGCAAAAGGAGCAGCTCTTTTTCGTTCTTGAACCCCTTCTGCTGCTAGAAATCCCCTTCTGCAGCTAGATGTTTGGGTTGGAAGCCCATGGATCAAATCCAGAAGACCAACTATAGGTCCTACAGCTCAAGTCTGCACTCCCAGACTCCAGACTCTTCAACTCGCAAGAATCCTAGAACCCCATCATCACGCACGACCAGCTCGAGCTTGATCTGATGGATTCGCTCGGCAATGCAACCTGCAAGCAGCCATGTTGGCACGCGTCAGCATGGATGTTAGCATCATCCTTGCCCATCCCCAAGCAGCCCTCACAATAAAATTGGTCAAGATTTTGTCAAGATCTGATCAAACAGAAAATCGGTTCATTTCAGGATTTTCCGGGTCCCCAAGTGACCCAAGTGTTGCAGAGATTTCTTGAGGGAAGTGAGTACTGGAGACCCAAGGGTGTTGGCACCACCAATACGACCATGGCAAGAAGAATCCTGATGCGAACTGATTGCAACATGTTAATAAACAAAAACATACAAACATTTTCAGAACAAGAATAAACAATTTTCAAGCATGCGAAATTGTTTCCAAACTACCACAGAGGACATTCTCCAAAACGATTTCAATGCCAAGATGATTCCGTGCTGGCAAGCGAATGTTTACGGTACAAGCTGACTCCATGCATAAACAAAAAACTGAAATCCACATCGATGTGTGCACATTGATTCCATGATATTCATTGACATTCCATGTAATGTGGTATGCTGGTTAGTGCACGGATACACTATTGTGCAAAGTTTTTCAAAAATAATTTTGGATCTTTCAAAATGATTGCGGGATCCACTATTGTGTAAAGTCTTTTTGGTGGTATTTTTCATTTTTCCAGTTTTCTTCTTTTAACTGGCTGATCTTTTCAGTGGGTTTGAAAAATATTAAGCGATTGGGCCAACAATGGTGGTTTTGCAAGTTAATGATGTCACAACTAACTGCACGCATTTTTTCTGATTGCATGCTTGTCTGCTGGTTTCAAACCATCGCTCCAGCCTGCATTCAATTCTAACCGAAGCGCGCTGTGGGACAAGCATGCATGGCAAATCACCAATTTCCTCATGGACATTGTACTTGACATGAACCTGACATGAGCCTTACTGTAGACCACATATTATTGTTCAAGATGATCCAAGATTTCTGATTTAGGTATATACCGCTTCTCAAATGCCCAAGGCTTGTATACTAGGTGTATCATTTGGCTAGTCTTGGGCTGCCAAGCTGTTAACCCTAAGGGCACTCTCTTCTTTTAACTGTTGACCCTAAAATTCTTCCACTGGCACTCTCTTCTTTTAACCCTAAAAATCTTCCACGTTGGCACTCTCTTCTTTGAACCCTAGGGTTAAAAAAGCGAATGTCAGTGGAAGAATTTAGGGTTAAAAGAAGAGAATGTCAGTGGAAATGACATATTCTTCCACTGACATTCTCTTTTAACCTAGGGTTAAAGGAAGAGTGTCTCAAACAGTCTCAGAGAGCTCAAGGAAGAGTGCCTCAGAGAGCTCAGTGGAAATTTAAAGTTAAAGGAAGAGAATGCCAGCGGAAGAATATTTGACATTCTCTTCCTTTGCCACTGGCATTCTCTTCTTTGAACCCTAAATTCTTCCACTGGCATTCTCTTCTTTTAAGCCTATGTCAGTGGAAGAATTTAGGGTTAAAAGAAGAGAATGCCAGTGGAAGAATTTATTTCCACTGAGCCCTCTCTTCCTTCTTCCACTGGCATTCTGACATGCTCTTCTTTTAACCCTAATTCTTCCACTGGCATTCTCTTGGTTAAAAGATAGAAGAGAATGTCAGTGGAATATGTTTTCCACTGAGACCTCTCTTTCTTCTTCCAATGGCATTCTGACATTCTCTTCTTTTAACCCTAATTCTTCCACTGGCATTCTCTTCTAATGTCAGTGGAAGAATTTTGGGTCAAAAGATAAAAGAGAATGCCAGTGGAAGAATTTAGGGTTCAAAGAAGAGAATGCCAGTGGAAAAATTTATTTCCACTGAGCCCTCTCTTCCTTCTTCCACTTACATACTGACATTCTCTTCTTTTAACCCTAATTCTTCCACTGGCATTCTCTTCTTTTAACCCTATGTCAGTGGAAGAATTTTGGGTTAAAAGTTAAAAGAGAATGTCAGTGGGAGATGTTTTTCCACTGAGCCCCCTCTTTCTTCTTCCACTGACATTCTGACATTCTCCTCTTTTTACCCTAGTTCTTCCACTGGCATTCTCTTCTAATGTCAGTGGAAGAATTTTGGGTTAAAAGATCAAAGAGAATGTCAGTGAAGAAGAGCATGTCAGTTAGGGTTAAAGGAAGAGACGTGAGACCAGAGACGTGAGACGTGAATTCCACTGACATTCTCTTTTAACCCTGGGTTAAAGGAAGAGAGCAGAAGAGTCTCAGAGAGAAATTCTAGGCTTAAAGGAAGAAATTTCTCACATCGGACATTCTCTTCCTTTGAATGTCTCAGAGAGTCTCAGAGAGCTCAGTATAGGGTTAAATGCTCTTCACATCCGTTAAACCCTAAGACTCTTTCGCTCTAAGAGAGTTTCTAGAAATTTCTCTCTTTCTCTTCACATACGTTCTCTTCACATTCGTTAAAAGAAGAGAATGTCAGTGGAAGAGTGGAATAGGGTTTTAAAAAAAATGTCAGTGGAAGAATTTGGGTTTAAAAAAGATTGCCAGTGGAAGAATTTGACATTCACTCTTCTTTTAACCCTAGAAGTAGGGTTAAAGGAAAGGTGTCTCAGAGAGCCTCGGAGAGCTCAGTGGTAGAGTGTCTCAGAGAGTCTCAGGGAGCTCAGTGGAAATTTAGGGTGACATTCTCTTCTTTTAACCCTAGTTAAAGGAAGAGTGTCTCAGAGAGTCTCAGAGCTCAGTAGAAAGAGTGTCTCAGAGAGTTTCAGAGAACTCAGTGGAAATTTAGGGTTAAAGGAAGAGAATGTCAGTGGAAGAATTTTAGGGCAGGGTTAGAAGAGAATGTCAGTGGAAGAACTAGGGTTAGAAGAGAAGTCAGTGGAAGAAAAGGGTTAAAAGAAGAGCATGTCAGAATGTCTTTAACCCTAAATTCGTCCACTGACATTCTCTTCTAGGGTTACATTCTCTTCTTTTACTGACATTCTCTTCTTTCTAGGGTTAAAGGAAGAGGGCGGAAAATTCTTCCACTATTCTCTTCTTGGACATTCTGACATTCTCTTCTTTTAACCCTACGCTCTCTTCCTATTTCACTGGCATTCTCTTCCACTGACATTCTCTTTTAACCCTAGCCCTAAAATTCTTCCACTGACATTCTCTTCTTTTAACCCTATAAGTGTCTCAGGGAGTTTCAGAGAGTGTAGAAATTTTAGGGTTAAAGGAAGAGTGCCCCAGAGAGTTTCAGAGAGCGTGGCATTCTCTTCCTTTAACCCTTGAATGTTTGGTTAAAAGAAGAGAATTTCAGTAGAGAATGTCAGAATGCCAGTGGAAGTAGGGTTAAAAGAAGAGAATGTCAGAATGTCAGTGGAAGAATAGGGTTAAAAGAAGAGAATGTCAGAATGTCAGTGGAAGAATGGGGTTAAAAGAAGAGAATGTCAGAATGTCAGTGGAAGAAAAGGGTTAAAGGAAGAGAATGTCAGAATGTCAGTGGAAGAATAGGGTTAAAAGAAGAGAATGTCGGTAGGGTTAAAGGAAGAGAATGCCAGTGGAATTTAAAGCTAAGAGAGAATGTCAGTGGCAGAATTTAGGGTTAAAGGAAGAGAGCGTAGGGTTAGAGGAAGTGAGCGGAAGAGTCTCAGAGAGAAAATTTGAGCGGAAGAGTCACTGACATTATCTTTCAACCCTAAATTCTTCCACTGGCCATTCTCTTTTAATTCTTCCACTGACATTCTCGCTTAATCCTAGGGTTAAAGGAAGAGAGCGTAGAGTCAAAAGAGAATGTCAGTGGAAGGGTTAAAAGAAGAGAATGTCAGTGGAAGAGTTAAAAGAAGAGAATGCCAGTGGAAGAATTTAGGGTTAAAAGAAGAGAATGTCAGGAAGAAAATGTCAAAGAGAATGTCAGTGGAAGAATTTTCAGTGAGAGAATGTCAGTGGAAGAATTTATAGTTAAGAGAGAATGTCAGTGGAAGAATTTAGGGTTAAAGGAAGGGAGCGTAGGGTTCAAGGAAGTGAGCGGAAGAGACTGGCACTCTCTTCTTTTAACCCTAGATTTTGTTTCCGCTGGCACTCTCTTCTTTTAACCCTAGATTTTTTTTTCCACTGGCACTTTCTTCTCTTAACCCCAGGGTTAAAAGAAGAGAGTGTCAGGCAGGAAGAGAATGTCTGGGTCTTGAATTCCAAGCAGGCAGAAGACCCAGAATGCAAAGTTTGCATTAGGCTCTGCCTGCCTAAAATTCTTCCACTGACATTCTCTTCTCACGCTGGCGCTCTACCTTGGATGCAACGTCTGCATTCTGGGTCTTCTGCTTGAAATTTCTCAGAGTGTCTCAGAGAGTGCAGGAAGTGTGTCTCAGGGAGTCTCAGAGAGCTCAGTGGAAATTTAGGGGTAAAGATGGTTAAAGGAAGAGTGCCTCAGAGAGTCTCAGAGAGAATGTCAGTAAGAAGAGAATGTAGGGTTAAAAGAAGTGGAAGAATTTAAAGAGAATGTCAGTGGAAGAAAAGAAGAGAATGTCATCAGTGGAAGAATTTAAAAGAAGAGAGAGGTTAAAAGAAGAGATTGCCAGTGGAAGAATTTCCACTCTCTGAGACTCTTCCGCTCTCTTCCTCTCTTCTTTTAACCCTAATTCTTCCACTGACCCACTTTGGCTGCTGAAAGCCAAGCAGCATCAGAAGCCGCTGATGCTCTCCTTTTCGCCGTGACGTTTTGGCTTGTGGTGGACGCAAAAGCTTTGTTTGACATGCTTGTGCGAGAAGAGATTCAAGCTGGAAGCTCCACCGACAAACGAACTGCAATTGAGGTCTTGGTTACCCAAGACAAGTTGCGCTGCTGCAATGCAACGACAATGTCGGTGAGCTCGGAGTTGCAATACTCAGATGGACTCACAAAATCCAGTGCAGCTCAACTTCTTGCAGATCGCGTGAGGAGCCACTTGACTCGTCTGAAAAACGATGAAGACTTTGTAGCAAGCAAGAAAAAGTCAGCAGCAGAAAGAAAGAAAAGCACAGAGAAGTACGCAATTCGAAAACCTTCAAGTGCGGCAACCACTACGATGTTTGCAGCCTTCTGCACATCTGCAGCTGCTGCAATGGACTATGACCTGAACGAGACCTATGCGATTGAGAATGAGACCACCAACACCTACAACCTGAACTACCTGGACTCTGACCGCGAGCCCTTCACCACGATCCTGGCCATTGTCATGGGCTACTTCCTGGTGATTGGAGCGATTGCCACCTGCCGGTGGATGATCAATGTGCCACGAAGAGCAATGGCAGCCTTCACTGCACTCTGGAAGGACAGTAACCTCCAAGAGGCGCACACCCCGGAGGTCAGTGAGATGGCCACACAAACTGATGGTGATCCTTTGGTGGAAGCCTTGAACAACCTCCTGCAGGAGAAGCTTGGTTTGGAAACGCTTCTGGATGAAGCACAAGACCAGGTGAGGAACTACGAGCGTTCTAATGATGATTTGCGACGGTGCTGCGCGACTTCAACCACAACCGCCAGGACGATCATCGAAGCAGCCCAGCAGGAGATTTACTTCACTCCATCTGGGCAGGCGTGGCACGCCAACTATCAATGCCTGAGGAGTCGCACGATGGGGGCCCATCTACCACAGGACTTGGTGCACTCACTGCTTGCCTCTTTTGTGCGAGCCACGTGAGGCGAATCAAGCCCTACCAGGTGAAACAACCTGCAGGGTGAGCTTTGGCGATAGCTAGGTGCCATTTTTCCAACTTTTACTTTCCATCGGTGTGAATTGTGCTCCACACATTCCAGGTGGCATTAGCATTTTACAATTTCTTCAATATCCCTGGCCCTAGGGTCACGGGATGCCTGGCATTTGAGCCATTGACTACATGTCCGGCCGCCCCATTGTAAAAAGGGTCGCGCTCTACGTTGCTTTGGCTGCACTTCGCGCGGCAGCATTTGGGATTGGTCTTTGTGAGCTACCAACCAACAAAGTGTAAACAAAGTGCAAAGAAAGAGCAAACAATGTAAACGTAAACGTCTACCACAGCCTTCAGGCCTACAGGTTCAATGACTCCCCCTGGGCGCAAGTGCTCTTCCCACACGTTTCTTACCTTCTCGAACCTTCTCGTTGAGTCCAAGAAACGGTCCCAGGTTCTCGTCTGCAAACTTCTTTAAGGACTTGAAGTCTCGACCACCTTGATAGTCCTGCAAGAAACTCACAACCTTCAGCCTTTCAGCTGATTCCTAGCTATGAACGACACAAAACCGGAGATCCCCTCAAGGTCGACTGGAGTTTGGAGAGCCAAGGCATACCAAGCGAAGAGTTTCAGGAAGGAGAACGTTGTATATTTAAAAAAATAAAGTTCGTTGTGGTTCAAGGTAAGGTTAACTAACCGAACCTTCACTATGTTTCACCGTGTCTCAGTCGCTGTAGTCACTTCACCAACTCTACCCTGGCCACGCTGGTTTCCTGCAAGTCGCCAGGATCGCCATACCTGAAACAAAAACAAGATACAATAAATTACAAACATGAAAATCATGAAAATCCAAACCCTTAAATTCCATACCTGAACTCTGCCAAGGAACTTGAGTGTGGGGTATCCCCCGACCTCTCAAGTAACTTGGCATCACTATCATCACTGAATCACTGACTGAAAGTTGAATTTCCAACGGATTCCAAACTCACGCACACTGTCACAGGTCACATCATAGTTACATAGTTACATCACATAATGGTGACATCTTCTGTCGCATGATCTGATGGGCAAAGTATGGCAAATTGCGGGGCCAGGTGGTGCTACTGATGCTACTTGAAATTCCGCTTTGCGGTCTTTGCGCCGAGCAACTCCATGCTTTTGGCACAAGGACTGGCCCTCCCCGGTGCAAACCACATCTGCAACGAGAGATCCAGGACCGCCGTTGATTTCATCCATCAGTTTGTCCCAATCAGGTTTCGGTTTCTTGCAGTGGCCTGTCAAGCAAAAGACGATGCACGCGATGCACAGGATGCACATGATGCACTTGCCGATGAGCTTGGCGTGAGCTCAACATGAGTTTTACTGCTTCACAGATGGTCACAGCCGTCACAGCGTTGAAAGAAGTGAAGTCGTTCTTTCCAGCTGCAGACCGCACCGCACCACGGGGCATAGAATTTGATGAAGACACTCTTCCCTGCCGTTTCTGCCTCGCAGAATCTTACAACTTTCCAGCAACTCGCAAAATCAATATCAACAAATATTTCAACATCAAGCATCCCGAAACATACATTGTCAAGCAGATCAGAAAAAATGACGCAACGGAAGAACCAGACTTCTCACACACACACACAGAGAGACATTCTCACAGTTTAAGTCCGGGACGTCCCAGTTCTTCTCCTGAGGCTATTACGGCAAGGAAACAACATGAAATAATCATGAAAGGGCTGCCCATTTCACGATAGTTGCAAGGAAAAACCAGCTGCAAGAACTCTGTGTGAGATCAACATGGGTCAACATTTTGACAGTTTTTTTGCGGGTTGCGTTAAATTCTTAAAACCATTGTTTCCAGAGCTGGCCCTTTCACCACGCTTTCGCAGCTTCTGCCTCCTTTCGCCCCCAAGCGAATTATAGGCTTGGTATGGCTTGGTATTTCGTTGAATAATCGCCACCAGAACGACTCCCATATGCTCAAGGGATCCTTAAGGGGTATGGCACCCATGCACCATCATGCAACACATTCCCAAATTTCTGCATCTGAACTGGTGCAAATTGGTCCAACAATGTAGCAAAGCTCCATGCGTTTCCAAGCGTCTGAGAACTCAATGGCAGCAGTGCTGCTGAGCAAAGCCGAAATGACAATCGCGTATATCATCCTGAAGTCACAGCAAAAAGTCGCCAGTTTGCACAGAATTTGCGAAGAAAAAAACATGATTTGGGTTTTGACTTGAACATTCCACATGCTCAACTCGGAAGGGATTTAGTTTTTGTAAAGGACCGGGCAAGTTCTGACTAGTTCTCAGTCCTGTCTTAGTCCTATCCTAGCCCTCTCTTAGTCCTATGTCACAGAACTTTTCCATTCCCAGCATTGACACAATTCCCAGTGTTGCCAGCCTCAATTTGGGAGGCGCAAGGAAGCAAAATCAAAACTGCTGTGAGCCAACCAGCCAGTCTCTGTTGGATTGAGGATGACTGAAGTCAAAGGATGCCTTGTGTTTCAGTAGTCACACCAGGACACCCTTCGGGTTTGCCACTGCGGAACAAGCTGTGAATTCCCCCAAGTCGCTAAGCCAAAGAATAAATCGGTGGTCCTTCGGAAGGGAAAAAAATAAGCACTGATCAGTTTACGTGGTTGCAGCAACTCCTCCTTAATTGCAGCATTTGTTTTTTACTTTCTTAGTTGCTGATATTACGGAAAAAAATCTGCAATTACGGAAAAATTGTTGCTGTGGTGGCATTTTTAGAGTTTCAGATGACACGCACAAATCAAGAAGTGTCAGTACAGGCAGGTGAGGTCATAAGCCTTTGGACCTGATCAGGCATGGCCCCTGCGCAAGGATGACACACACTGATGCATTCATGGCTCAAGAAAAGGGGTGACTGCCTTGTTGCCCTTGCTTTTTGCCCGTTTTTAGGGCTCGCAGGTTATGAGCCCAACCAATTTGGTTGGGTGCGCTCCGTAGGTGCCGATGGATCGAAGGCGCCGACAACGTGGAGAAACAGCTGACCAACGACTGGACCGGCTGATCGAGATGGAGCGGAGGTCGCAACTCCAGCCCCCTGCAGTACCAGAAGTTCGAAGACTGAAGGTAGACGAGGGAGGTGCAGCAGCTTCGGGTTCGGAACTTCGACATGATGGTCGAGGCGAAGATGGAGAAGGAGCTGCACATGTGCAGGGGTCGACAACTTCGCTGCAGCTTGGGTCAGATGTCCAGGTGCCTGAGGGGATGCTGGCTCCGCTTTTTCAAGGCCTTGGACCTGAAGGGACGTCTGGGGTGCTCTATAGAAGGTTGGATGAGGATGACATCACTCGTCCGGTAGTTGAGGCAGAGCCTGGACTTCGTGGGAGCCCGGGTGCTGCTGGAGCAGGACTACAGCCTGTTCAAGATCTACCCAATGATGCTGGCCGAGGACAAGGTTTTGTACACCGTGATGGGTCAACTTTGTTGGAGGCAGCTGGTGGCCCGTTTGGCCAAGATCGCAGTGGCACTGGAGGCTTAGTGGTGTCTCCTGGCGTCAATGCCTTTTGGAGCGCTGATGTGAGAAAGGCAGCTGCCTTAGAGCAGGTGGCGGACGTGGAGAGGCCGATGGCTCTTCCACCTTTAGCTGGACCGCCGGTGACCTTTGGCCCTGTGCAGGCCCTTGGAGTTGATCATGGAGGTCCGGGACTTCTTCAACTTGGTGCTGGCCCTGAGCAGGCCCCGTTGCATTTGGTGTCTGCTGGCATGAGCCCTGTGCAGGCTCCTCTGGTTGGTGCTGGCCCTGAGCAGGCCTCTATGCGCATGGCGGCTGCTGGCATGAGCCTTGGGCAGGCTCCTATGGGCGGTGCTGGCCTTGTGCAGGCCCATGGTGCTGAATGTCGTCAAGGGGGTCCTGAGCAGGCCCGTGGTGGAGTGCGTGGCGCTGGCCCTGTGCAGGCCTTGACCAATGGGGCGCTGTCGCAACCATCGCCTGAGAAGTCAGTGGAAGAGTTGCGACTCCGCATCATGAAGGAGGCGGAAGAGAACTTCATCCGAGAGGCCAAGAAGCTCAAGGGTGAGGAGGTCGAAGGGGAGATTAGGTCGTACCACACGGCTTCAAGTGGGGTGCCGCCTATGCCGGCCTTGCAGGGAACCGCAACAGCGACGTCTTTGGCTATGCGGCTATGCAGCAAGCTGGACATGGGCTTCAAGGAGGAGCACACTTGGCTGGTCAAGGGCATGGAGTGGTTTGGAGTCAACCGGTTTCTCCAACGCCAGTGAACTCTCCTGGACTTCCTAGTGGTCATTCCCCTGGACTTCATGGTGGAGCGTGGGCATCTCATGGCCATCTTCAAGCTGGTGGACTTTATGGAGGTGCTGGATCGATGGTGCACTCGCAAGGTCATGCGACGGGTGTGCATAGTGGTGGTCAAATTCCAAGCAGCTGGAACGCAATGGGTCCTATGGCATCCTTTGGAGGAGGGGGTATCGACTCAAATGTGGCGGCAGGCACAACAGGAACTGCGCCGTTGGTTATGCCTCCAGGGCTTGGTGGTCCGGATCAACCTCAAGGGCATGCGACCCCTATGGAGCCGCTGCGGAGCTCTGAACTTCCTCTACTACCACAACCGGGCACAGAGCAGTCGGCCTTGCAGTTTGGGGACTGGATCACGGTGGTCACTCCAATGCTTGGAGATGTGGCTGGATCGGCTCGTGGATGGTGGAATGACATCCTGAGGGAGGCTGCAGGGTTGTATGACAGATGGCTCACCTCAATGCCCTTGGAAAGGATCAGACTCCGTCCAGCTGAAGTTCAACGATCAGAAGCCCATCTACGTTTGGAACAGCGGGTGGTGCCGATGTTGCTGAAGTGCATCCCAGAGCTCATCAAGCAGGACTTGATTGCCAGCAGAACCATGACGGTGACGGGCATCATGTACCGGCTGTGGACCATCTTCCAGCCGGGTGGGAGCTCTGAAAGGGTGAGCATTCTCAAGCAGCTCACGGAACCAAAGGTGGGGGCCAGTGCTCCAGATCTTTTGGAGGACTTCGGAGGTGGAGACGGTTGATGAGCAGGTCATTGGAGTTGAACTTGGCCCTGCCAGACCCGATCATCCTCAGTGGAGTCTTGCACCGCTTTGCAGATGCCTTGGGAAGGCTTGGTGGGACGCAGTTGGCCTATCGGGTGGCTTCAGTGAGGCAGGAGCTTGGTGTGGACATCAGACCTGGTGCAGTGTCCATTGAGCAGTACGCGGAGTACCTCCAGTCCGAGGCAGAAGAACTGAGCTTGGGGATTGGCTTGAAGGCCACAACTGCTGGAGCTACTGCCACAACATCCCTGAAGGCCATGGTGGGTATGGAGACTCCAACCCTGACTTCGAGCACGACTTCAGGAGGCACTGCGAAGTCTCCATGTAAGTTCTGGAAAACTACGGAAGGGTGCCGACGTGGAGCTCTTTGCACGTTTCTTCATGAGACTTCCGAGATGAAGGGAAGGTGTTTCAACTGTGGGAGCTCTTCACACCTTCGTCGGGACTGCACAGCGAAGACCTCATCTACTCCAACTTCTATCCCCGCGCAACAGGGTGGTTCTGCAGGAGATGGCTCACAACAGAAGAAGGTGTCCAAGGTGAAGGCAGCTTCAAAGCCATCTGCCAAGGATTCACCTGGCGACTCTCAGAAGGGAAAGGCCGCCAATGCAGGCGAGATGAAACCCAAGGAGGTCGTCATTGGCCTTTCTGGAGCGACTTCAGAAGGAACCCAGGGAGGTGAATCTTCCACCACAGAGCCAATGGGTGAACCCTCAACCGAGGCAGCAGCAGAGCTGATGCGAGAGGCCACAAGCCTCTTGAAGTCCATCAGGTCATTGAAGGCCGTGCGGATGAAGTCCGTGGGAGAAGGGAACTTTGGTGGACCTGGGGAGTACGCCCTTCTTGATGGAGGTGCTACTCATGGACTTCGACAGGCCAAGCCTGAAGAGGAGCCGGACCTGATCGCCACGAAGGTGGAACTGGCTTGTGGGTCAACGGTGCTCTACAAGCACCCCAAGCATCAGACCTTGCTGAGCAAGGAGCCGGTGGAGCCAATCATACCTTTGGCCTGGCTGGTGGCGGCCGACTACAGGATCACATGGCGCCGTGATAGCATTGTGATTCATCACCCAGTGAGGGGGCCGTTGAAATGCAGCTTGAGGGGCGGTTGCCCGGTGATGTCTCGCTCCGAGGGCCTGGAGCTGTTGGCTGACCTTGAGAAGATGCAGCAGACCAACATTGAGGTCAAGGAGGACGAGCTGAACTGGTGGGCGAGCCGATTCCCACAGGTGCAGCTGCAGAAGGTTGGAGTGCCTTCAAAGCCTATGGTTCCTTTGGGGGAGCGCGTGGTGGTGAAGACCAAGCGCTGGCACAAACAGGGTCCACTGGCAGCTCCTTTCAAGTCAATGGTCCTCATGGGGCCAAGTCCCAGCATGACGAATGGCTGGGTGCTTCGAGATGGACGAAAAGTTCAACATGCACGTGCAGTGGTGCGCCCAGCAGAGGAAGGGGAGAAGGCGGTGATGGAGCTCTATGATGCTTCCACCAGAAGGGTGACGGGGAAACAGCCTCCCTACCTGGAAGATCGGAAGGTTCCTCAACCACTTCAACATGATGATCTACCTCAACTTCTGCGAGAAAATTTAGCCGTGGATGACTCCCATGATGTTTGGGGGGAGGCTGGAATCGCAGATCAGGGGGAGGATGTGCTCAGTTTGGGCTATTCTCCTGATGAGTTCCCTGACGAACTTCATGGAGACCAACCTCATGATGGAGATCAAGACGGAAGTGTGGATGTGGAACCTGCCCTTCGTACAATGTGGGCAGGGGGGGAGTCCAACCCCACTTCAAAGGCTACTTCAAAGACCGTGGTGGATCCAAACTCTCCAAACGCCTCTGTGGCGACAACTTCAACGACATTTTCGGCTACGCTCAGTGCATGTGAGAGCTGTGGGCTTATGCAGCCTGATGGGGAGGATTGCAACTTTTGCGCTGGTCCTACATCAAGGCAGAGGTCCTCACAGTCGGGCTTAGCATCTTTGTCAATGAAGGCGTCCTCACAGTCGGGCCTAGCATCTTTGTCAATGAAGGTGTCTTCACGGTCGGGCTCGATTGGCCGGTTGGGATCAGAAGATGTGGAACATCAAGCTGAACTTGGCCCTGAAGGTGGACGAGCTTGGGAGTCGGTGGAAGTGCCTGATCTGGCAGGACTGGTGGATAGCATCCATCGTGAACATTGGGGATGGAAGAAACTATGGGAACAGGAGCTTTCGCGAGAAGCGGTGGGCGCTGAGACTGGCTTTGTTCATGGCCAGTGGTTGCAGTACTTGGAGGGTCAGGTGAAAAGCCTTGAGGAGGAGCTGGCACTGGTGAGTGGATCGACCTTGAAACAGGAGGCCGTGGAGTGTAGACTTGCAGCCCTCTCCAAGGATGTGGATGGTGTCTTGGAGGAACCTCTTTGTCCAGATCCACCTGATCAGGCTCGAGCTGTACTGCAAACCTACACGGTGTCGCTGACTGAGGTCAAGAACGACATCAACCTATGGAAGGAGCCTTTGCAGGCAGAAATGGAGGCC